ATATATATATATATATATATATATATATCATTGATCAATGATATATGTATATATATGATGTATGTACATATGTATGATGTATGTATATATATATGTGTACATAATAAGTATATATAATATATATGTATATAAACTATAAAATGTATATATATATACATAAGTATATATGGATGATGTATGTACATAAGTATATATATAAGTATAAAGTATATAATATATAAGCATATGTATATATTAAAATAAATACAAGTCCATTTTATTAATATAAGCCCATTTGTATTACAAAATAGATAATCCAATACTTAAAAAACTCATTCGTAAGTCCATATACAATTAAGTATATATGTATATATATAAAGTTCATTTTATTAATAAGCTCATTTGTATTACAAAATACATAGCTCAATCTACTTATATATATATATATACTTATCATTGATCAATGATATGTACATAAGTATGATGTGTGTGTATATATATAATATAAGCACATACACATATATATATATAAAGTATAAGTATATAACTATAGTACGTATATATGAAGTATAAAGTATATATATATATATATATATATATATATCTATATATATATATAAGATATATATATATATATATATAGATATATTAAACTAATGACTAAAATAAAGATTCTAAAATTAACATTCACATTTAATGACTATAATTAGAATGTATACATGACTAAATTGCATTGAATTGAAAATTCAATAAGAGATTTACAATTAAACCATGACTGAAGTAAAAAAATCAAAAATCCAATAACAAAATAGAAAATCATTGATTTTTTGAGTGCAGGCATAACTAACCCAAAACATTTTATTGGACACTAAAACCAATCCCACCTATTATCACTTCTAAATTCCCAAAAAAATAAATTTTCCCTCCAAAAAAAAATCTTTCTTTTAAAAATTTTAAATTTCAAATAAATTCATCTTTGATATATATTTTAAAATTTTAAAATTTTAAGTTAAATTATATTTAAATTTTTAAATAATTATTACATAAAAAATAAAAATATAATCTAATAAAATCATGTTCAATAAATAAATTATTTAATGAAATTAAAAAATTATTATTATTAAGATTTATAATATAAAGATTATAATAAAAAGCCTAGTTTTCTCTCATTGGTGTGCCGCTCAACTCTTTTCTTTTTCGTCTTTGTTGATCCGTGGCGGCACTAACCTTAAGTTGGTTATCGATCGCCAATATTTTTTATTGCCTTTTTCTTTTATACATCGTATCTTTATTTTATTTTTTTATTTTCAATAAATTGACATGTGTTGCACATTTTCATCTACATTTATGACACATTTTCTTATGCTTATTGGCATGTTTTTCGATTATTTGGTCGTATTTTCATTTATCTTGTTTCTAATGGTTGATTTGACATCACGACGAATTATCAAGATGGCGCTTATATGATATCTTATGATATTCTCTGTTTTGGACCCTCAGATTGGATTTGGATACCCCATTTGCTTTCGTCGATAGTTTTTCACGTCGCCCGATTCTGATTTGCGGTTTGTCGATGGTCTTTTAATAGTTTGATCCCCTTTTGTGGTTTGTTTGACGATGCGATCATATATGTTTGTATCTATATTTGTTCGAGTTTCTTGGTTAGATTTAATCTTTCCTTGTATGGTCCTTATGTAATCTTAAGTTGCTAGTTTTGTTTCAATGATTATATGAAATTTTTCTAATTATGTGCTTAATTTACGATTGTGATTATAAGTCTTTATTATAATTTGAGATATTTCCTATTTTGAATAAAAATTAATTGTTTCTTTTTAAAAAATAATATAAGGATTATAATTAATATAGAAAATAAATTTATTAATTTAGTTATCATAACTAATAATTTGTTTTACCTTTTAAAATGTAATTATATTAATTATTATAGTTTATTATAAATTCAAAATCTCACAACTTTATAACTTATAAGTTAGGTAAATATCAAGTCATGTAAATATTAGATCAGTTCAATTACCTGTTGAGTCAATTACAGGTCAGGTTGATAACATGTCGGGTAATACTAGTTATTTACCAGGTTAATCTCGGGTTCAGGTTCATTTCAGTTGGATGTATGTCGAGTTCAATTATCATATTATTAGTTCAATTCAGTTTCAGGTAATTCTCATATTAGATGCAGATCAGGTTCAGATCCACAATTTCCAAGTCCAACTCCGATTTAGGTAAACACCAGTTCAAACTCAAGTCAATTTCAGATCACCACCACTCAGGTCACAAATAATTTTGAATTGAGTTGATTTCAATCAATTTTACAATTCGAGTAAGCTTTTTACATCCCTAATTGAAATATAGAAGGGTTCCTTTTGGCATAGTTTGCAATTTAAAGTTTAGATTGAATTTTGATCGGGAAATTCAATTATTTTAGGCCAGGGCGTTGGGCATTTCAGGCTAGCGACGGCCTAGGTAAAACTTTAAAGGCCCACTTTTTTATCATATTTTCGGATAATCCGAAATTAGAATTTATCCAATCCAATTATTCAATTTTTTTAGATATCCGATCCAAATGATCCAAAAATAAAAAAAAATGGATCGAATATCCAAATTTACAGATTGGATTAACGGATTGATCGGATCAGATTTTTTTTCACACCCCCCCGGTTATTATCCCTTTCTTTTAAAATATGAAAATCTTTTTGGAACAATGTCGTAGATTATGCTTATACTCTGATCAAACATTGAATATGATATTTATACTTTAAAAAGTTCTATTTTGGTCCTTAGATCATCATTCTTGAATTATATTATGGCACATGCAGTTGACATCATTAATAAATGATAAGCAACCCAATGAAATTTAAACAAATGAAACCTTAATTATTGAAACTTCAACTTCTCCAAATATTTATTTATAAAATTAAAAATTAAAAATATTTATATAATAATAAGGAATTGTGTTGAATTTGTATACCAAATAGATATAAAGGATCGAAAGTAGTGGAAGCTTTTAACAATTGAAGATCTACTTTGTTGTCATAGGACTAAAATAAATAAATATTTCCAGAAATATTGAGTTTTGAGAGCGTTGAATACGCAGAACTGGGTTCGAATTGACAAGTACAATACATTTGTCGACAACTAATGAAAAGAGAAGAAAAATAACACTGTATGTGGGAATCGAACCCACGACATGGGATTAAAAGCCACGCACTCTACCAGCTGAGCTAAATGGTAAAATTGTTTTAAAGGTCATGCTACTTATAACATTTTGTAAACAAAAGTAAATATCAACAAACCATAAAAAACGTTAATCTTAACTGAATTATTATTATCATTGCTATTGCTTATTAAAATATTATCACAAGACTGCAATATAAATTACATATATGTTTAAAAGAGAATATATTCAAAACTAAATATATATGTTGTGGAACCTCGCTCTTCACATTCCTTTCGGGAAGAGCCAGTGACAGAATTAATACTATAGCAGAGGGTAGAATGAAAACAAATTGTAGATGGCTTATGGTTTTGACTGTTAACAAGTCCTATGTGGTCCAGAAATAGCCAATTCACCGGAGCACATCTGTGGGAGCGAGAAGCGGCCTTTAAAGGAAGCAAATCTAAGGCATACCTTTCTTGGTCTTTTGGCTAAGATCAAGTGTAGATCTGTTGTTATCAGTTTAATATCTGATACGGATGGCTCACATGACATCAAATTGATCTTTTGAGCCTTGAGGGGGAAAGTTCCACCGCAGTTGTGTTAAATTCCTCTTAGAAATTTCCCTTTTCACTCAGGCCTCTGCCTTTGATCCTAGCCTTCTATGTGGCACTCAAGGACCCCAAAATTGATGGTATGTTCACCCTTTTCTTTTTATTTGAATATGTTCAAATCCATGTCTAAACTAAAAGACATCTAGCTAACAACAGCCTGCAAGCAACTCCCTATCTTTGTGCAACGCAGTGTATATCGAGTGTCAATTCACATTTCCATCTTCGATGCAGTACTTAATGTGCCTGGAAACAGGTCAAACCAACTAGGATCGAAAGCCACTCCTGTTAATGTTGAACAAATACCAGCACTTAACACTCTTGCTGTATCTTTGGCTCGAATTGACCATGCACCTCACCCTTGAGCCACCGAGATCCTAGTGCTCCTAGAAGGCACGGCATGTTCTCTATTGGCTTCGTCACATCCAACCCCGATAATCATCTCATTTCTAAAGGATGTACCCCGGAGATGTTTTCTTTTTCACTGTTTGTCTAATTCACTTCCAGTTCAACATAGGGGAGACTAATGCAGTTGCCTTTGCTGGTCTTAGCAGCCAAAATCCAGGTGTGATAACCATTGCAAATGCAGTGTTCGGATCAAAGCACCACATTAATCCTGATGTTCTTGCCAAGGCTTTCCATCATCAGGTTTACTGAGCTAAAGGTTGCTTGTCTTGTAGGATGAAGAGGTTTGCAGTATCTTGCTGCTCGGGTCTTCACGCATCTAGCTCGGGCCTGGCGCACCCCGCCCAATCAAAGTTCAGTGATTTCTGCTTTTAATGTTTTTCTCAATGCCGGTAGATTAGCTAGTTTTATTCTTCAGACCTTTAAAATTATTGATCCATGATATAATCTTTCTAATTTATCTATTCTTAACGTACCCAAGAATACACACATTTGCTTACAAAATGATTGGTAAGAGAAGAAATGTACTAAAAATTAAATGGCAAGTTTAGACAAGAAAAAGAAAGAGTGGACACCATTCTTTTTGTCTACCCCTTTTAAACACTACACTTCATTTTCTTTACCATATCATTCTTCTCTTAAACTCCCTCTTCCTCTATCTAAAAGGTGAAACATCCTTTCCTTTTGAATTTTTTCCCATTGATATTCTTCTGTTTCTTAATGTGATTCTTCACTTGTTTTTTTTTTTTTTAAATGAACATGCTTTCGAACCTTTCGTGCTATTTGTTTATGATCATATGCGTTTGTTTGTGACTTGAAACAGGTTATAGAGAAAGATGGGGGATATTATGGTAGGTAGGTATTGGTGTTACAGTTGCTTTCAAATGGTGAATCCAACGATAGAGCCCGAGATCAAATGCCCTTCATGCGAATCCGGATTTGTCGAAGAAATATCCAGCATGAGACCTTACTCCAACACCAATGGCATTGATTCAGCATCAGACAACAATTTTTCCTTTTTGGCTCCAATTCCAATCTTGCTCGGTATAATCAGTGGTTTAGGCACTACGCGGTCGCGTATAGCAGGCAGGGATCGAGTCGATACTAACAACACATCACAGGATGCATTGGATGATGAACTAGGAAGAGATTTTGGAGCCCTGCTTATGAGGAGGAGGAGGAGGAGAAGCTCTTCGGCTCTTCATACGCTTTATGATACGCCCAATGCAGCAGTCTCTGAACCAGAGAATCCTGAAAATAATAGACAAAGGAGAGATAGATTGATCTTATCCAATCCGTTCAACGACGGTGCTTTGATTGTTCACGCTTTGTTTGGTGATTACTTAATGGGACATGGTTGGGATCTTTTGTTGCAGTATTTGCCGGAGAATGATATTAACCACCATAGTGTTCCACCGGCACTGACGGAAGCGATTGAAGCAATACCAAATGTTACTGTGGATGACATATTGCATTGTTCTGTATGTTTGGAGGATATTGAGATTGGAAGTGAAGCAAAAGAGATGCCATGCAAACATAAATTCCATAGTGGATGTATTACTCCGTGGCTGGAACTTCATAGTTCTTGTCCAGTATGCAGGTATAAGCTGCGTTGGAATTATTCGGAGATCGAGCCAAACGTTACCAGAAATGGCGAGGGGAGAGTCGGCGTTGCAGATGCCCGGAATGGTGTAGAAATAGGGATCGGGAGGCAGTACTGGATCCCGATTCCATGGCATTATGAACGTTTACTGGCCTTACAGGGATCTGGAAGTGGTTCTACTTCAGCTTCATCGGCTTCATCGTTGGAGGCTTTGCCGGGGAGCGAAAATGCACCTCAGACAAATGAAAATTGATTATTTTTCTTTCTTTCTTTTTCTTATATTTTATTGTGTGTTTCTGGCCTTAGCCTGAAAGTTTTCTGCAGCATACTTGCTGATGTTGTGACTTCGTTTTGTTCCAAAATGAAGAACTAAATAGATTTTGCTTGTATATACATTCTTGAGAAATTATAATCAAAAGGGTGAATTCATGAAAATAAAAAAGCCAAAAGGAATTTTACACATTTTCATAGTATTACAATTTTAACAACCTAAAGGTTAAATTTTTAAATCAATCTGATATCTCGATTTATATCGTATAATTACAAAGTAGAGTTGGTCCTAGATTTACGCATCTTATCATCATGCGAAGATGGAGGCAACGGAGAATACGAGAACGCAGCATGGTAAGCAAGTTGAGCAAGTGCCGGAACAGCACCACCTGTGGATTTTTTTGATCGAGACACCATCAGAGTCACAGTGCGACAACCGTTAGTCCAAGCAAACAAGATTTGATCATGCGAGGTTTCATCATATCTTGTAACACAAGGAAGTATCAATTTAGGTAGCAAATAAATAAGATGCTCGTTAAAGAGATTTTCTAACCTGCCAATCCGGCACAAGCGGAGGAGAACACTACCACAGGTGGTCCTACATGCAAATAAAGAAGAATTATGCAAGTATTTTCATATATGAGCAAGAGTATGCAGTGCAGAAAATTCAGCTAAATGGCGTTTGTGGACGAGGGGCTGAATGGTGAGTGGTGAACCACCATGAACGGCCAAAAACCACTTGGTTCTCAACAAGCAGGCGACATATCAGGAAAATGAAAATGCATTAAACATTAACCTAGTTATTGTTACTAACAAGGCGGAAGGCGCAAAAACTAAAAAAGGACAGTTTACATCTTATCCTTTATCATAATCAAGTCGGAGGTCTAAGAGCAAAGCGAAAACAACTTTTGGGTCACGAATCAACACTTCATTGACGAGAACAACAGAAGGCAGAGACACCAGAGAGATGTCATGGTTAGGGGAGAAGAGGAGAAGCACAAGGCGAAGGGCATTGGGGATTCAGAAAATGAATTAAGGATTGCGAAAGAGAAGAACATGGAATTAGGGATTAAAAATTCTGAAATTGAGGGAGAAGGACATGGGTCACCTGATATGCTGGCAGATAAGATAAAGCTAGAGAAATGAGGCCCAACAGTAATTCAATTGGCAGCCCAAGAGAAGAATATGCCCTAGTTGTCAAGCAAACGTTAGCCTTAGTACACTGTAATTATATAAAACCATGTACTAGAGGAGGAGAAAGCCATGCTTTGATTGAATGAATTCTAAACTTCTTTGAATCTCTTCTTTTCTCTCCTTAATCTTTATTCTCTTTATTCTTCGTCTATCTCTTTTCTCTCTTCTACATCTAATTTTCTTCTCTAATCACACTAGGGTCATAACAAATTGATATTCAGAGCCATCATTTCTTGGCAGCTTGAAGCAAAGAAGCAAGGCATGGCAGACTCCATTAATCTTTCTGCGATTCAGAGGCAGTTTGACGATCTCACCAAGATGATAAAGCATACAACGGTTAAATCAACTCCTCCAAAATGGTGAGAGGCACAAAATGCTCGCGTAACTAATTTGAAGATGAAAATGGACACAACCCAGAGAGCGGTGGAGCAGATCTTACAGATTCTGACTAGTACAAAGAGCGAGGAAAAAACAAAAGCAGAGGGGCTGCGGTAATGTATCTCAGGTGTTCGAAAAATTGCAAACAAAAGAAGCTAAGCCATTCATTATTGAATCATCCAGTCTCTATGATAGTCAAGATCCTGCAAAAACAGAAGCTCAACAGAAACAAGCAACGAAAAATGACATAAAGGCTACTATGATGGTTGATGCTTACAGTAAGAACATCTACCCTGTTTATACACTTGAAGAAGTTTTATTTCTACCCAAAACTGAGATGGAAATCACTGATGCACCACTTAAATGTTATGTCGAAATTGTAAAGAGTGGCCCCAACAATGGTGTTATGATGCTTCACTGCAAATGGCATAAAATGTTTGACAAAACGTTAGAGCTTCAGCATTGGGTACATCATAGCAGTGGTGACAAATTTCTCATTCGTGGTGCTGAAAAATTCAGCATATGTGAGTCTAAAGGTGTACACATCCAATGGTTAAATCAATACCAAAGTCCGAAGTCTTATCTCTACATGGATAAAACAAAAATTTGGGAGGAGTTGAATCTGAAACAAAGACTTCTTCAAAATCAAATGAAGTTTCCAGAAGAGTTGAGAAGGAGAACAATCACTTATTATGATACCGGATGGAGGATGGACCATTATCAGTCAAAGAATGTTGTTGCTAATGTTAATGCAATCATAGGCCCCATGTTGATCGGAAATAACCCAACCGAACATTCTGGTTTTGACAATTTCATGGTTCAACAACTAGATAGAACTCAAAATAAATGGGGTTGGTGTAAACAAAAGTTTGGCATAAATGTCATTCTTGTGGTTTCCCTTACTGTTTACCAAGCTGGAGCTAAAGTCAAGAACATTACTCCTTATAAACACATTACTAACTTTGCTGGTAACCAGAAGTTGATCATGTCAGTCCCTGCTTTCAATGTCATCAAGGGTGGTTCACATCCAAGAAACAAACATGCTATGCAGGAGTTCATGATTCTCCCTGTTGGAGCATCATCCTTTAAGAGGGTCAGGAAGAGGGATGTGGAATCTACCATCACTTGCAGGCTATTATCGAGAATAAGTATGGTCAAAATGCAACAAATATTGGTGATAAGGGTGATTTTTTTGCTCCTAATATTCAGGAAAACAAGGAAGGGCTTGAGCTGTTACGAACTGTCTTTGCTAAAGCAGGTTACACAGACAAAATTGTTATTAGAATGAATGTTGCTGCATCTGAATTTTACGGACCACTTACAACCTATAACTTGAACTTCAACGAGGATACCAATGATGGTTCACAAAAAATCTCAGGAAATGTTTTCAAAGATTTATACAAGTTTTTTTGTTTCTGAGTACCTTATGGTATCAAATGAGGATCCCTAAGAGGGTAGTGATGACTCTGATGATACAGAGAAAAGTTTTGATCTCTTCGTTGTTCAGCTGCTCGAGTTCCTGTTGGCTATTATGAGTCGCACAAAATTGGTAAAGATTGTTGCAAATAATATTGCAGAATTGGTGTACTACACAACTGCTTTTCTGCAAGTTACAGAATTACAGGTCTATATGTGGTCGACGGATACCAACCAAATGGTAGTGGATGAGGATGACGTCAATAATAAATACCGTGTCACTGGTGCATTTTTACTAGAAAAGGTGGTTATTTGTTATGAGGAAGAAGGTATTAATGCTATTATTGTTACGAGGAAAAGATCTAGTGAATTTCAACAAGAAAATGTTGGTTGTTCTGTACTTTGGTGGAAGCTAAGGGAGACTACCTTGTTTGCTCTGACCTCTTTTTCCAAGCAATTACTTGAGTCAGAACGAGTTTTTGGACTTACAAAAGTGAGTTTAGGAAATCTTCTCGAACAAGTTATTAATGAATATTTAATTAGGCCTATGAATATTGATACTGACAATAATGGTTTCAAAGAGCCAAGCGATTTATCTTTAGAATCCGGGGCATCAAATCAAACTGGTACCAAGTGGGTGCTTACATTGGCAAGGGCATTGTTTGGAAAAGGACTGGTTGAATCATTTGGTTCTCAAGATGAAGAAGAATGCATAATCAAGTGGAGGATCCCAAAATCTCATGAGGGTGGTCATATATTGAGGAATTTGTTATCTCATTTTATCAAAGAAATTGTTCAGGGCGTGAAGGCGCAAAGCATAATGGAAATTTATGCGAATAAAAAATTGACATTTAGAACTTTGAAGGTTGGGGGTCGAGTTTACAAGAAATTTCGGTCTTATTATCAAACCTCACTTGCTCTTCGTAAGGGAATAAAGTTGGTAACAATGTTCTATGGTTCTATGGTGCTCGACAAACATAAGGAGAAGAAGCACAATCAGGTGCATTAGATGAATTTAGAGCTGGAAAATGTCACTATTGTAAATTATATTGTACTTAAAGCACAAGTCCTAGGTTTTGATCATTGGGGACAAAGATCATCTAAAGGGGGAGGAATTGTCATGGTTGGGGGAGAAGAGGAGAATCATGAGGTGAAGGGCATTCAGAAAATAAATTAAGGATTGCGAAAGAGAAGAACATGGAATTAGGGATTAAAAATTCTGAAATTGAGGGAGAAGGAAATGGGTCACCTGATATGCTGGCAGATAAGATGAAGCTAGAGAAATGAGGCTCAACATTAATTCAATTGGAAGCCCAAAAGAAGAATCTGCCCTGGTTGTCAAGCAAACGTTAGCCTTTGTACATTGTAATTATATAAAACCATGTACTGGAGGAGGAGAAAGCCATTCTTTGATTGAATGAATTCTAAACTTCTTTGAATCTCTTTGTGTCTCTCCTTAATCTTTATTCGCTTTATTCTTCATCTATCTCTTTTCTCTCTTCTTCGTTTAATTTTCTTCTCTAATCACACTAGGGTCATAACAAGAGACCTTGGAACAACATCCCCAACATTGAAAAACTTTTGATGGGAGGTAAGTTCAATTAGCTACTTTCTTGGAGCGGAGCGGGGAAAGGGGGTGGGGAGAACTGTAAATTAAGCCGTATTATTAATATTACCAAATATAAAACTATGTTTAAAAAAACTAAGCCTTGCAAACCAACCCAAAACAAGACATTGATAAATCAAGAGATTTGGGATATAAAGAACTTACACCAACAAGGAAATGCACCCACATGGGTCCCTTTACATAATTAGTGGCTTTGCCTCCTCTAATTCTAATAAGTTGTTCTCTACTAAGAAAATTAATGTTACCTTAGATGATCACAACTACTTGATATGGCATCAACATGTTTTTCTTACTATTAAAACACGTAGACTGCAGAAGTATATAGATTCTCATGTTTCTTGGCCTACACAGTATATTACTTCAGACGGTGTAGTTAGTTTAAACCCTGAATGTAACCCTCCAGACCCAGTCTGTAAGTTAGACCCAAACCTAAGTGGTCACATATCCCATTCAGAGTTTT